GTTCATGAGCTCGAGTCCTGTGTCAGGCTCTGTGTTGATAGCTCAGAGCCTAGAGCCTGCTTCAGATTTTGTGTCTCCCTGTCTCTGGGCCTCCCCCGCTAATTTTCTCTCTCTCTCAAAAATAATAAGCATTAAAAAAATTTAATTTTTTTAATAAAAAATAAAATAAAATCCAGAACTTAGGAAATTCTACAGGATCCGGGAAGAAAAAAAATAGGGTAGGTATGGAGTTAGAAATGAGTAGGAAACAAGACTGGTGGGAGGAGATGAGTCCCTGATCAAAGTTCTTCAATGCCAAGGCTGGAGATTTTAGATTTCAACCTCCTGGCAATAAAGAGTCCATCCCTGAGGTCCACCAGCTGTGGGGCACCACAATGAAAGAAGGACTGGAGGAAGAAGGTTCCTGAGGTCACATGAACAGGAATGCCCTGGGAATACGCACAGATTAGAGCAGAACCAAGCCACGAGGGCCAGGTATCCAGAGTGAGGCAGAGGCAGAGATGTGAGAAGTCTTCTAAAGGACAAAATGAGAGGAAGATGACCTACTAGAATCACTGCCAAGGAGAGGGAGGAATTCAAGATGATGTTGAAAGGTCCTGCCTGGGTAACTGGGAAAGAAAATGGTACTGTCTGTATCAAAGTAAGAAAATAGTGACCTCTTTCAGAGGCACTAAAGCAGGTGCTAGTTAGAGCCACAGGGACTTTAAAAAAACCTTATAAGACATCCCACCACCAACATACACTTCAAAAAACACATTCAAGGGGCGCCTGGGTGGCGCAGTCGGTTAAGCGTCCGACTTCAGCCAGGTCATGATCTCGCGGTCCGTGAGTTCGAGCCCCGCGTCAGGCTCTGGGCTGATGGCTCAGAGCCTGGAGCCTGTTTCCGATTCTGTGTCTCCCTCTCTCTCTGCCCCTCGCCCGTTCATGCTCTGTCTCTCTCTGTCCCAAAAATAAATAAACGTTGAAAAAAAAAAAAAACACATTCAAAAAATTAAAACCAAAAACCATTCTTGCTGAATACATCTGTTCTAGGCTACTCAGCCCCACTAGACTTCGGTGATGAACAGTATCAACTACATTTTTGTTCACTTACTCAACAAACATTAATCAAAACCGAACCGTCCCAAGCTAGGCGCAGAGGAACTCAAGGTGAATCAGATCCAGCCCCTGCCTCTGACAAGCTCAGTTCTGCCTCCTTTCCCTATGAAGGGGTAGCCAAACTGTTTCACAGAGATACTGAAGCCCCCACCCCAGTTCTTATCTGCTACGTGTGGAACAAGAACACTCTCAGTCAACACTTCAGACTATCCCTGACCTGGGGGCTGTCTACCGTGCTTTCCTTTGAAAAGGGATGGTCCTCTCTGTCCCCTCAATTCTCTACATTATGGCTGACCTCTACTTCTGCCCACAGCACAAAGATGTGAAAGGTCAGTTTTGCCCTAATTTCTGAAGGCTTGATGACAGAGGAAAAAGAATGAACTATATGAGCCTTAAAAAATGACTGTAGGTTACGGCTTGACCCTTGTAACTGTAGGTTACATCTTTGCTTGCTTCCAGAGAGGGAAGATATAAGGGGGAGGCCCACTCCGCTGATTTCCCAGATAACTGAGACATTCAAAGACAGATGTAAAAAAAAAAAAAGCTCACTAGAATCCTGGCTAGGGGACAACAAGCAGCTTATCAAATGCTAATCGACCTCACAAAGCAAGTTAATGAGGCAGGCAAAACCCCCAGAAAAGCTCTAATGGTTTAGAAAGGGGCAGATCTGTGGCACACTAACAAGTTAGAGATAAGATTTCTAGGTGCTGCTTATTTCCCTTAAGTGCAAGAGCTTCCCCTTTCTTCCTCCTGGCCTTACAGGTTGTCAGGAGGGCTTGTGAGGTAAGGACAGGCCAGAGCCACAAGAAGGTATGGAAGACTCTCACTGAGACAAGAGGACAGGGAGGCCCAGAGCAGACTCTTGAAATCCTGTGAAAGCACAGAGACCTGCAGGCTCTCTGTGCAAGAGTGAGGAAGCCATGGGATGGGACCAGAGCGAAACCTCTTCCCATAGAGAGAGAGAGTGACTAGGCAATGAGCTCAGTGTGCTCCTACCTCGGGGCCCCACGCTAGCAATCCTGCCCATGCTTTCTGGTCACAGCTGTCGGCAAGGAAAGGGAGTAAATGTGGTCCCCAGCCCAACATTCAGCCTCACGTGGGAGGCTGGAGAGGGGTGTGGCGTATACTCACATGCCGTCAATGATCTTGAGGAAGACACTGCAGTCCTGGAGCTGCAGCACGGCCTCCACGGGGCTGGCTACATGCAGACTGTTCACCTGTGAAACAAAGGGGAGAGCCTGGTGACCCACTGCGAGTGTGAGGAGCACTGCGTTGGCCGTGCTCCCCAGATGCCGACAATGAGCCTGCTCACAGTGGGTGCCCACAGCTGCAGGCCGCAGGCGCGAAGAACAGCTGGTCCTCGGAGCTTGCACTTCAGCGGAGAGAAGCTGCTGCAGCCACGTGCCCAGTAACAGCCACCTGCGTGCAGCCTCAGAACCCCCCCTTCCTCTGGCTTCAACTAAATGAGAGCCAAAATTCTCCGAAGATGCTCCAGCACTAGGGATATAATTTAACTATAACTAGGCATAAAATGGCTCTGGAAGAACACACAAGAAACTGTCCTGTACCACCACTGCCTCTAGGGACAGGGGAGTCAGAAGCGGGTTAAAAGAAAGGTTTTTTGTATTATTGCTCTTTGTATCTCTTGAATATTTACATTATAACCCTCCACAGCTCAAATTTTCACATTATAGCCCTTTCTATCTCGTGGACTTTGAAATATCTATTCAAAACTTACATTAAATACTACGTATGTTTTATATACTATCACACAGATACAAAATTTTGCTAATGCATTTTTTAAAAATTTAACGTTGGGGCACCTGGGTGGCTCAGTCGGTTAAGTGTCCGACTTCAGCTCAGGTCATGATCTCATGGTTTGTGAGTTTGAGCCCTGCATCGGGCTCTGAGCTGTCAGCACCAAGCCCGATGCGGGGCTCGAACTCAGGAACCATGAGATCATGACCTGAGCTGAAGTCAGATGCTTAACCGACTGAGCCAGCCAGGTACCCCTGTTATTTACACATTTTAAAAATCCTTCCCAGACATAAACCTTTGGCTGACACAGGGAGAAATGATGAGAGAACAAGATAACAAAGAAAAAATAAGGGAGGAAAAGAAGAGCTGGGAACCCCAGAGAGAAACTTGGCAATCCTGATTCAATTGCCTTTTTCTCTTCTTTGCCTTTAGGCAGGCATCCACCTAAATCAGTCTTTACAACCAGAAAACTCACCAGCAGTCAGTCACCTGCGAATGAGTCAGGTACACAGGTTATTCAACAAGCATATACAGTCAACTTCTCCAGGAAAACCTCAGAAATTCCAAAGGCATCAAGTTCAGAAGAAGCCTGGGCTGAACTTCACCTTTGTTACTACCAGAGGAACAAAGGGTTTGCTAAGTCAGTCAATCACACATGCAAGACTGAGGTAAGAAGGGAACTTAGGCTGCTTATTAACAAGGTATTTTTAAGAACTTCAGCACAGTGGTTATTATGTGCAATGAGTAGTTTCTGTTTACAAATGTGCTCTTTAAAAGGTACTGGGCTATGGGGCGCCTGGCTGGCTCCATCGGAAGCACATGCTACTCTTGATCTCAGGGTCGTGAGTTCGAGCCCCACAATGGGTGTAGAGATTACTAGATAATCTGACAGAAAGAAAGGTAGATAAATGAAGAAATGAATGAATTGGTACTGGGATGAGAGCTCCCAGATAAAGATTTTGGGTGCAGGTCTTCCACGAACTTGCCAGGAACCTTTGTTATCAACTTATTTCTCTCCGTACCTACTTTCTCACTTGCCCAATGGATAGAATTCCTACGCTGTTTGCTGTTTACTTTAGAGGACTGGTGTGCGTTCAAATGGAATTATGGGTGCAAGAATATGTAACAAAATACAAGTGCTAAATGCAAAGCACTATTATTATTAATAATATTAAAATAATGAAGTAGATGTAGCAAAACTTTTACTTCTCAGTAGTTAAACAGGCTGACTGCACTAGAGAATCAAGAGTATTAAATAAAAAGAAACAAAACTCAGCCACAGAAATGATACTATTTATTCAGTTAAATATTTTTATGTTAAAAACAACTTTTAGGGGCACCTGGGTGGCTCAGTCGGTGAAGTGTCTGACTTTGGCTCAGGTCATGATCTCACGGTTCATGGGTTCCAGCCCCGAGTCAAGCTCTGTGCTGAGAGCTCAGACCCTGTAGCCTGCTTCAGCATCTGTGTCTCCCTCTCTCTGCCCCTCCCCCGCTCATGCTCTGTC